CCATTAAAAATTCCAACTAAATTTACTTTTTTTACCCCTCCTCTTTCCCCTATTCTGCAATATAGCTTTCAATGTGACGCCCTTAATAAAGTTCATATCTTGGAATGTTTTGAATTATGTTTATGCCAAAAGTTGCAGATTTTAGAGGCTTTGCTTCCAAATGGTATATATAATAGTCCCTTCATCTTTTGAGGATTTGGGCCATATCATCCATTAAACAAGATTGATTCTATCTATAATGACTTTAGAACCATGCCACTAGAAAATCATTCTCTTGTTACAAGATTAGTAGAAAATGGACTTCTTTTCATGGTCATTTGGAAACAGTAAAAACTTTCTGAAAACTGATCACAAAAAATATTTGTTTCCCTCATTAAGTCCCAACTTTTAGTAAATCACAGTTTTGGTCCCTGAGATTAGCACTTTCTAGGGTATTGGTCCCAAAATGTTTCTTTTGCAATTTCAGTACTTATTGCAAGGTTTTGTATCGGTTTTGGTCCCTTGATTGTTAACTTTAACCACTCAACTGTTAAATTCATTTTAAATGACTATTTTACCCTTGGACCAAAACTTGGAATGAAGTTGATGAGTACTGATTTTTAGTTGGTGTTGGGATTTCTCGTGCTAGCTTCTTTTCCGTTTCTTATTTTGTACTTCTCCTGCTGGCTTTTTATATTTTTTATAAAAGTTTCTGTAATGCACTTTATTGACCAAACAAATCATGATTCCAAGGGTTTGTTTAGATATGGATTTATGAATTCAATGCCAATGCAAGAAATTTATCTCCAATCGAGATCACTTTTGTAGGAACAGTAATCATATTTTAAAACCTAACTTTATAGCCAAAATAAATTGTGATTTTGCTGACCTAAATGTTACCCCCTTCCTTTGAAAAATGTTACATTTTTTTGTTTCTTTGTGAAAAAAAATATTGAGGGTATAATAGTCAATTAATAAAAATAATAATTTAAAATGATTATAAAATATTTAAAAGTGTTAAAGATAAGATTTGGGCAATTTTGATATTTTGAAAGCTTATGAAGGGTATTTATGATATTTAGAAATTAGGTTGGGTAAATACGATATTTCGATGTTTAAAAAGAGCATATACGAAATTATCCCATCTCCTTGTCTAAAGTATCAACCAAGCAAAAAATGAATCACATAAACCAAGACAATCACAAACGTGTCACACGAACTTCTTTGACTGTGTCTAGTTTACTTCTTCGATAGTTTTTAAAATCACAATTCACGAACCAAGGTATTGAATGGTTATGTTTGTTTCTTTCACAGATATATTTTAAAATCACAAATCAAGATTTTTACTGCCTCATCAGCTTTCTTTTTAAATGCAATTCCGATCATAAATCGTTGTATTGGTTAAGCATAAATGCATAATTGGTGACAATCTTAATTGTTTTATATGAGAATAAGTTAATTTGAATACTAATTTATTCATATTGAAGATAAAAAGCGCCACAAACATTTATTTGGGAGAATGAAAACATAAAAGTCCTTTTCGGGGTCGAATCCATACATTTCATAAAGCAGAGTGAAGCAAACCGTAAAATAACCTAAATTATATTAAGGGGTTGTTTGGTTGGTTGGAATACCTATGAAATTTTAGGAAATTTGAATCTAATTCCACCGGTTTCGTAGGTTTGGTTGTATGGGTGAGCATTTGGACCCAACCGATACTGAAACCAGTTTGGGAGGAATATAAAGACCGTAGACCAGACAACATTCATTACATGTGGTGCAATTCGATGAAGCGTATGGTACATTCATTGCATTGGGCCAGTACAACATTCATTGTGTATGGTACAATTCGAGAACAAACTAGTCTAATACTTGGAACTGTTTAAAAAAAACGGAATCGGAAAATTGACAATCCAAGAATTGATAATCGGCCTAGTTATCAATCCAGGTTTAAGGTCAGGTTTAGGTCCAATCCGGATGTTCATCCCTATGTGGTTTAACTTTTGAGTAGGAAATTAAATTCTTAAATGAGATAAACTTTTTATTCGGGGGGTCATTCTATCAAGAGTATAAAGAAATTAATTAAGATACGTTTTATTATAAACCAAAACTATCTTTGGAGCAAGTTGTAAGAGCTTTTTGATTTTCTTCAGGAGGTCGGGAGTTGGACGGTCTTCCTTTTTATTTGACAACCAGCTAGAATTACCCAGATCCAACCAATCTGCCCTACATAACCCAACCCAAATCCATCCCAACTTGTGCTTATTTATAGCTTTTGACAAAATTTTATTTTTTATTACAATTCGGTCCTTTTATTTAGTTCGCCAAAAACATTTTCTTATAATAATGTCCAAGTTTTAATTTTTGTTACAATTTGTTTTTTTTTTTTTTTTTCAAAATTTGCCCAAATATTTTACAAACTTTATATTCATCTGTTCTTTTATTTTTTACAAACTTTTTTTTCATATTTTTGAATCTTTTTACACCTTCTTTTACATCTTATTTTTACAGCCTTTGTTTTTTTACAAAAATATTTTTCACAGGAAGTTTTACAAAGCTTTCACATATTTTTAGTTACAGACATTTAGTAAGACCTTGCAAATTGTTCATAATTTTGTATGCCACTCTTAATAGTAAACCATGGTAAACGACTAGCCGGTCTAACGGCTTGCGTGATTTTTATTTGGTTTTACTTGAGGAGTTCAGGGTGGTGGGGGTCGACTCCTCCTTACTTTGATGACATTTTCAGTTTCCTTTATTTATCTTTATTATCCACCTCCACCTCCTGCAACTTCCCCTTAAATACCATTAAATCAACTTATGGACACCTCCACACCTCTTTACCCTTTTCGACTTATCACCATCTTCTTTATCCCACACAGCCACACTTTGCTTACAGATCGAGCGTCAATGCAACACTAGCTACCACCAGCTCTCCTCTCATGAAGAAATCTGTATGGAGTCAGAAGAAGTGACGACAGAAGAATAGGACAAGTATATAGTGTATAATAATGTAGATGTAGAGACGGTGGAACCTAAATCCAAGTTATTGTACCAGGAGGATTTGGTGATAAGACTAAGATGTTCACCGTTATGCAGGATGAAGTTCTGGTCACCGCCCACCAGGTATTCGATGAAATGCCTAGGTCGCTTCTTATGTTCTGTTTTCATTGTTTTACCTGTACTTTATGTATGATTCCACAACAAACTTTCGTATTAGTTTATTGGATGGATTCCATTGCTGCTCTATATATTTGTTATCTCAAATCAATAATTGTTCATTCTTTTAGTTTATATAGAATTGGTTATGTTAATAGTGATTGAAAACATGATAAGTTACAGAAAATATCTGCACTTGAACCCACTACTTCAGGTCATTGGATGAAGACGCATCAGGTAATTCTTAATGTTACCTTATTATATATATAAAAACAGGCGATATGTTTTATACCAAAAACAAGTAGCACTATTCATTGAATATGAAGATTTCGATTGCATAAATCAATATTCATAGACTGCATGGTTATTCTCATGTGTGGAACCTCTTTAGGGCTTCAGTGTAATTAGTACTAATATCCTTCTCTTCATTCCCTTTCTTTTCCTTAATTTTAAAACTCGAGAACAGGATTTTTAGCTGTTAAGTCAAATGAAAGTGGCTGAAATCATGAAAGAAAATGGATGAAAACATATTCGTGTGGCTGAATTTGTGGATTGAAGTTTAAAAGGTATTTGTGCAATTCAACTGAAATCAATTGAAATAGTCCGAGTAATAACATTGATTTATTGTTAAAAGAATTATTACATTTTATACCAACAATGAATTTCACTTATTTAATTCAAAAACATATAATATACATGAATTTTATTTGAAAATATATAATATGCATGAATTTCATACTATCACAACCTCAAATCTGAGGTTGAGGTTGAGGTTGTAAATACTTAACAATAGTTTACATAAGAGTCTATGATCATGCCATCATGCATAAACGATAAACTTAAACAATGGAACTGTATGATACATCAAAATCTTATAGTGAAAGTCTACTCCAAGAAATCTAATTCAGACAAGCACAAACTTAAATGTAATATACACATACCCTTCAAACTGAAATCCCTTGAAGGTCTTCAACAACTTCTCCATACCCTTCGAACTTTAAGCTATGACGCCTCCTGAGATACATGTTAAGTTTAGTTCATTTCTGTTAAGTTCATGATTTTCTAACTATAGAAAATGCTTCATCCACAGTAAAATGTCATCTCAGAAACTATATCATAACTCTCAAAAAGTAACATTCTTGTGATAGCTATTATGATGAACTTATTATAAATAAATACCATGTTTAAAACATAGACTGACATCACATAACTAATGGACTCTGACACGTAATTTATCCATGCTAAAATAAAATGATTTATTCTTTAATATTTTTAAGTTAAATATGTTAATAAGACTTTCTTTGCTAAAATGCATATTTGACTTGACATATAATTTAAATGAATCTTTTGACAAATGAGATAAATGACAAAAAAGGCAAGTAATTGTTGATAATACAAAGTTGAGATATATGACAGTTAATCTCACAAAGATATTTTTAGGATTACTTTAATTTAAAAATATAAGTTTAAAAACATATATAGAAGTATTATACTTTTTTGGATGACATACATAAAACATTTTCCATTTGGTTGAGACTACATATAAACAAATTATCATCTTGAAAAATTGTTGCGAGTTATTTAGCGAATCAATATTGTACCTTAGTTTCTCTTTGTGTTACGAAGTGGCCTTACCCATCTGTCCTTCCTCTTTTTGAAATGATCACTATACCTTTCATATAGAAAGTTTCCAATAACAACCCCCACAATTAGCCCGCTTCCAACTCCACAGAATACAAAGATCCAATCAGTTATTTCACTCGGGAAGAGAGACTCAGACACATTGCTTGTTGGTGGAACTCTCGGCACCTTTGAATCTTGACCTTCCTTGGATAAAGGTTTCCCATACAAGCCGGGATTCCCTATGTAAGAGAGAAGTCATCGAATGTATCAAATTGTTTTCCTTGTGGTATGCGCCCCTCAAGATGGTTGAATGACACGTTGAAGATGGAAAGGAAGCCGAGTTGCACCAACTGTTGAGGAATTTCCCCAGATAGATCGTTTCGAGAGAGATCCAAAGCTTCAAGATTCGTTAGGTTCCCTAAAGATGGCAAGATACGTCCAGTAAAATGATTGTTGGAAAGATTGAGGGCTTGAAGGCCTCGAAGATGTTGTAGTGATTGTGGGATTTCTCCTTCAAAGTTGTTACAAGAGAGATCAATGGACATTTCTATGGTTAAAATACGATCGTACTCTGTTTTGACACCTTTGTGAATTAAGGTCACCGTGTATTGCACATTTGTAAAGACGGTTTTGGAGGATATCTCTGATTCCATAGCAGATGATACACCAAGATCGTCGGAGCTCATGGCATGCCATGTTTGGAAGTAGTTGTAGTGCAACTGACCACTGAAATTGTTGTTAGAGAGGTCTATGATCCGGAGCTTTGGGAACTGTGATGAAACAGCTGTGGAACCTTGAATTGGACCATAAAATTTGTTTGACCGCAAGACTAGAACTTGTAGCTCCGCAAGACTTCCCAACCAAGAAGGAAAGGCGTCATGAAAAGAGTTATCTTCAAGAGAGAGAATCTCTAAATTTGTACAATTTGTCAATGATCTTGGCAGTTGACTCGTAAATCTATTGTCGCTCAAATCAAGTTCTGTCAACATACTTCCAAGCGTAAAAGTGTTCATAATTTTTCCGTGGAAGTTATTGTGTTTCAGATTCAAATACATCAAGGAATTGCTTAAGATACCCAAACATGAAGGAAGTGTTCCGCTCATGTTGTTAAAAGACAAATCTAACATTTGAAGAGATTTCAATTCACATATGGATGGTGGTATTTCTCCTATCACATTATTCTTTGCAATAGAATAAATAATTGTGGTTTGTGGTGGAAATGGTAGCTGTCCGCTTACCTGGTTTTTATGGATAAAAAATACTTGTAAATTTGCCCATGGGAGAAAATGAGGATGTTGATCAAAGCCAGTGATGGAGTTGAATGAAATGTCAATCAACTCTAATGTTTCTCGGCTGTTGTTCCAGATCCACACCGGTACCAGGCCATCAATGTTGTTGTGGTCAAGAACTAAGGTACGCAATTTATTTTGGAAGCGCAAAAAGGCAGGAAATTCTTTCAAATTGCATAATGACAGCGATAACGTATCCAAAGTTGGTAAACTGGTATTGGTGTAGTTGTTGGTGATTACTACTGTTATCCTGTTATCACTTAACTCGAGTACTTTGAGTTTGTCGAGTCCTAGGAACATGTCAAGTTCTACTCTACCATTGAAATTGTTTCTACCTAGGTTAAGATACTCAAGATTTTTTAAGATTGAAAATGTGTTTGGAATTGGTCCTTGCAATTGATTCATCTGAAGATCCAATCATGTTAGTTGGGTGAGGTTGAACAACCAGGATGGTATACGACCAGTAAGAGAATTGTTGTTCATTTGTACGTCACTAAGTCTGGTTAGATTGGCAAGAAAGAGTGGGATTTCACCGTATATGTTCATATCATGCAGAATGAGTTCACTAAGTTTAGTAAGCTTTCCAAGCCAATTTGGAAAGCGTCCTTTCTCGAATCTGTTACCATTAAGTACCAAAACATCGAGTTTCAAAAGACTTACCAACGAAGGAACTGAACCTGTGAACTGATTGCCATCAAGAGCCAAGAAAGTGAGTTGTATCAAGTTAGAGAGTGAACGTGGAATGCGCCCCGAGAAAGAGCATTGGGAAAGGGACAAGTCTGTCAAATGCTTGAGGTGACCTAGGGATTCTGGTACAATCCTAAAGAAACCTGTGCCACCTAGTATCACCTCTCTTAGTAAGCTGTTGTTACACAAGTCTGGAAAGGAACCAGTGAGGTTGGTATTGTCTTCCAAATTAAGAACTTGCAACTTTGGCAGCTCAAGTATGGCTGCAGGGAATTCATTCGCAAGCAAACATTGACTTAGCTGGAGTGACTTCAAAGAAGAAAAGTTGGCCAAGAAATGAGGTACAGAAGAACTAATGTCAACCCCAGAGAGATGGAGTTCTTCAATCCGTGTTAAGTTTTGCACCATGTTCTTAAGGCTAGGATTGTGAAGCTTTAGTGAATTTCCTGACATATTTAAAGAAGACAATTGCATCAACTGCGAGATTCCATTCGGGATTTGACCACTAAACCCAGAATAAGAGAGATCGAGGCTTCTTAATTGCTTTAGACGAGCAATCTCAGAAGGGATTTGAGATTCACCAAAGTCATTCATGGAAAGATTGAGTGTCTGAAGATGAACAAGGTTGAAGAGGGTGCTGTTGGAGTTGATATGCCCACAAAGAGACCTCTCGCTCAAGTCAAGACCGATCACATGACCATACTGAGCATGGTCATTGCTGCACGCCACCCCCTCCCATGAACAACAATCAAAACTAGTATTCCAAGAGTGGAACACTTGAGACCCAAGAGCAGCACAACCCACATCATCTTGATGAATTATGGTTTGCTTAAACTGAAACAAGGCTGAGCATTCTTCATCATGGCTTACAGATGATCCAGCGACAATCTTCACTGTCACCAACACATATACAAAGGAGATGGTTTGCAAGAACTTAAGGTGATTCATGTATGGAACCATGAAAACGGTGTTTTGTTTTATAATTGTCTATGGGTATCCAATTCTCATTATATATAGACCATGAGTAAGTTTAAAAATCAACTAATAGGACCAAAGGAAGAAAAAAGACAGATTAGAAAAAGAAGACTAGATACAGTAAAAAAATTATTTTTAATTAGTAGTGGTTTTGGAAAATTTAGTTTGTATTGCATTTTCCTTAATTAGTTAGTTTTTTATTCTGTTTGTCATATGGCTTGATGGCAAGATTGAAACTATTATAAGTTAATATTTATGTGAACATGATTAATATACTGTTTTTTGTACCTAACAGTAACATGTAGTTTTCAAAGTTAATTAAATGGTTAGGCCGTTAAGAGCAAATAAAATGATTAATGTGCTTTCCATGGTGTCACAAGTGCTCGTTTGCAGGGTTTTTGTATGATTCCTTTTCTTGATGTTACTCACTATGAGGAGGTCTTCGATGATTGTTGCAGCTGCATAAACATTGCTTCTCAGAATTACTCTCTCTCTCTCTCTCTCTCTCTCTCTCTCTAAAAAACAAAAAAATTAATAAACAATTCAAATCAATTTAGCAGAGTTTAAATAATTCTTGGAAATTATAGTTGGTCCCTGAATTCGCAAAATAGTTATTTTACAAAACATTAAGGTTTTCTTTATTAAAGGGTATTCCACTTGAGGGATGTAAAGCACCGCAAAACTATATTATAGGCATTAAAAACAGAAAAGTCCTTTTTGGGGTCAAAATCCATAATGGAATCTGTAAAATAGCCTAAAATTATTAATTCAGATACAGACAGGTGCTAGTGGAAGACTTCAAAGTCTTACTGCAATACACAACATGGAATGTGGATGTAAACATGACGCCAATTTCTTTGATAGCATGCATCTGTTTTCTTCATAAATATATAAAAAATTCACAAATGAATGTATTGAATGGTTCATCAGTTTTTCCTTAAGAGTGGTGGAGTAGCATATGCACTTCATTGAACAAATTTCTTTGATAATGCATCTGTTTTCTTCGTGAAATAGTATTTAAAATTCACAAATCAACGTATAGAATGGTTCATCAGCTTTTTCTTAGAGTTGTAAAATAGTATTTAAAATTCACAAATCAACGTATAGAATGGTTCATCAGCTTTTTCTTAGAGTTGTGGAGTAGCAGATGCACTTCATCCAACATATTTCTTCCAAAAAAAATGGATTTTATACGGTTTAAGCATTGGCGAATCAATGTGACCTCTTTCTACGTGTACTAAAAATCAAGTCATTTTAACTTGTAACCCGCAGATTTTGCAATTTATTCTTATTACAAATTGAAAGATTGGAAATCAATCAGTTGAATTGAAACTCAATCTGAATCAGTACATATACAAAAGAGAGAGGAAGGAAAACTAACTGAACTAACACAATATTTACAAACTAACACCTCAACTGTCTAACTAACTAACTAACACAATATTTACAAACTGACCCTTCCTCTATGTTTAAATTACAAATATAACCTCTAATATTCCCCCTCAAGATGGAGATGGAGAATATATATTCTTCAGACCCATCTTGCATAAGAAAGATTGTAACTTGGTGCTTGGTAGAGGTTTAGTAAACATATGGGCTAATTGCAAAGCAGATCTTATTGGCAAGAGTTTAATTGTTTTATCTTCAACTTTCTCTCTTACAAAATGACAATCCACTTCAATGTGTTTTGTGCGTTCATGAAATGTAGGATTATGAGCAATTTGAAGAGCAGCCTCATTATCTCCAAAGAGTAAGGTTGGATCTTTTGTGTGAATATCAAAATCCTTTAATAATTGTTGCATCCAAACCAATTCAGCAGTAGTGATTCATGTATGGAGCCATGAAAACGGTGTTTTGTTTTATAATTGTTTATGGACATACAATGTTCAATATATATAGACCATGAGTAAGTAATTTCAACGTACAAGCGTAACCAGATAATCATCATGGCTGTGGCCTGTGGGTAAGGGCGAAGGGGAACCAATAAAAGGTATAGCTGAAAATTCAACGAATAAAGCCAAAGAAAAAAGAATTTTGGGATTTTAAAAAATAGACTAAATACAAGAAAGAAAAAAAAAAAAAAAAAAGATCAGTATGTATTGCTTTTGCCTTAATTACTCGGTTTTTTACTTTCTTTGTCACAAATTTGATGGCAAATTGGCAATATTGAAAACTTTATAAGTTAATATGTGAAAAGTGGAAAAATAAGGGATGAGCCCCCCTTTAAATAACCAGAAGATCTATATCATATCAATATGGTTAAAACGGTGGCCTTAATTTATTAATTGATTAAGTTCAAAACCTCTTTGTGACTAAGATTGAAGACTTTGGGTTGTATAAGTTAGTTGTTTGAAAAATATATAACTGGTTTTTTTTTGGAAGTGTTCTACAAAAATATTGTGTTTTAATCGTGTATGTGATTAACTGTCCATCTTTCCGGATTAGTTTAAGATAGATGTAATGATTCTCTCTTTGAAAATTGTCCATACTTAGTTGTAATAAAAATATATTAATAAACACTTTAATATGTAAACAAAGTAGCAGTTTTACAAACTTTACCGCTCTTATATACACCTTTCTTGTTCGAGAGAGACAAAAATAAACAAAAAATTATTCATGCCGGAATTTATAATTTTCAACAAAATAGAGAGATGAAAAATATAACTTAACCTAAAATATTAATAATTTAAATACAAACAAAAGTTGAGTAGACTTATGGAAGACTTCAAAGTCTTTCTTTTGTCGTGTTAATTGTAGCAATAGACAACCACAAATGTCGAGGTAAACATCACGCCAACGTCTTTAATGGTTCATTTGTTTTCTTCTTAGATGTTTTTTCTTAAATCATAAATTAAGGTGTCTGGTGGTTCATAAGTTACCATTTTAGATGTTTTTTTATTACAAAATACAAATCATTGAATTTGTTAGATATTATAAGGGACAAATATGAAAAGAGAAATTGTCAGGAAAGTCTTAATATTTTTGGAAAAGTTACACTTTAGCCCCAAATTTTTTTTAACATAAAAGTCTCGATTATTTGTAAAAACACGATAATATGTCATTTCTTGTTAAAAAAAATTGTTAATTTGGGCCAAAATGAAATAATTGAGACTTTTATGTTCATAAAAAAACTTGGGACTAAAGTGTACATTTTCCGAAAATATTGGGACTTTCCTAACAATTTCCCATATGAAAATAAGTTAATTTTGTGCTATACGCTCGTTTTGATACATCTCTTTATATATGTTGGAGTCTCCACTTTCTCCATAAGAACTCTTTTATAGAGTAATCTAAGGACACCGTATTGTTGGGTCTAAAATTATGGTTTATACTTTGTTTTTCTAGACAACTGTATTTTTCTATAGTGTAATATGTGTTTGTAGTTGTGTACGGTCGGACTCGTGTGTACGGCTGTACACGCGTGTACAACTGGTGGTCCTATATATATAGGGTGAGGAGTGCATAAGAGAAGAAAAAGGCTAGAAGGCTAAGAGAGAATGAGAGCATATTGTAGAGAGAGAAAGTTAGAGAGAATAATAGTGTGTGTGAGAGAATCTTGTGTAAGGAGCATCATTCATATCTTCAATACATTCAAGATTCAAGTTATTCTTCTTCTCATTCTCTTCTATTTTGATCTGGCATCATCCGTTTGATTGGGATTCCGCACCATCAAACGGATATGATTGATACACAAGCAGATTGGGGACTTACAAGTGGTATCAGAGCTTGGATTGTATTAATCAATTTTGTCAGATCTGGAGCTTATTTGATCTTATTTTTAAAATCTTTTTGCGTTTTTGGATAGATCTATGAAAATTAGGGGGGTTTGTTCTTTGCATTTTTCATAAAAACGAGTTTTTGATCGAGTTTTGGAGCAAAAATGGTAAAAAAAACATCGTTTTTCTTCACATCTGTTGAAGGTGTACGGCCACGGCCAGTTGAAGGTGTGCGGCTCGGTGTACGACCGTACATGGGAGTCAGGTTTCGGAGTTTACGGCCCAGCAGCTCCAGCACGTGTCCGGCCATCTTCGCACACGCACCTCGTCCTCGCTTCGCATCATACTTCGTTCAGCAGCAGAAGTCCTCGCAGCAGCGTTCATTAAAAAAAGGGGAAGCGAAATTGAGGGTGCCGGGGATCGAACTCGGGTCTCCTCCGAACTCAGCCACACGCCTTACCAACTCCTCTAGCATCCCTGCTGTTCCATTACTCCCGGATTTAATTCAAAAAGACTTCCTTTCGCACCTATTTTCGTAAATTTGGCACTTTTAACCCAAAATTCAATTTCCTTTTATTTATTTATTTATTTATTTTTTAAATTCCTTTTTCTCCCAAAATTTTATTTTTTAATTTTTGACTTTTGACCTTAAAATTTTGACTTTTAAGTTTGACTTTTAAGGTTGACTTTTGAGGTTTTAAGTCAAAGGGCATTTTTTGATAAACAATGAGTTCTTCAAACACCAAAGTAAATGAAATTTCTTGTTCTCAAACATGCATTAATAATGTTAAAATTTTACTTGAGCATATCGAATTATTACGCAGAGAGAACGAGGACCTAAAATACGAAGGATATCAACTTAGGAAATGTCAAAAAACCCTTAAAAGCACAATTAGAAACCAAAACAAAAGATTTTAGAAAACTTCAAGAAGAATACAGTAATAAATGTGCAAACTATAGATTTGTGACAGAACAACTTGCTGAGTTAACTGCTGAACTTGACGTATTAAAAAATAAGTTTGAAAATACAGATTTTAATTTTAGAAAATTTGATGTGTCAAGTGAAGTAGTTGCGTCAATGATGGAAAATAGTTTGAGATTAAAAAATAACCAACAAAAGGGTTTAGGGTTTGATAAAGTGTCTCCTCCTTTTAATCACACCTATCAGTATAACCCTTTGACAAAAGAGGAAATGGACAGAGAGTCACATCTTAAATATGGATTTGCGTCAGGAGGTAGTATTAATGTTAAAACTAC